ACTTCTGTATAGAGTTTCTCTTTCCCGCTGTGCATTCTCACCTGTTTGTGGATCTCTGGGGGCTGTTGCCTTGGTTGGATTTGGAGTCTGTGTGCCATGGGTGAATGCTCCTGGGAGGAGATGAGAGAGAGGTGAGCCTGCATCTCTTCTAGGGGGCCCTGAGGGAGAAGAGGACCAGGGCCACCAATCCTGCCCTATCCAACCAATGTCGGTTAAGCCAGGTACCAGGTAGGGCTTTAAGAAGCAGAGAGGAGTAAGAAATAGAACCCACAATGGAGTTTGAAAAAGCAAATGGAAAATTTAATCATGGCTGTGATACAGCATGATGGGTACCATTGGAAACCAGCTAACATTGGTAAGGTATGGTGACACGGAACGGGAGAGCGATGGTGTTGTACAGGAAGTATCCAATGTGAGTGCTCCTGGGCAAAGAAAAAATGAGTTGCTTCTCATTCATTTGAGTCTTAGTGTATACCTTGCTCCATCCCACTCCAGATAAATTGCCTGTCATTTTCATGAGAGAGTATGGGCTCAGTTCAACAATTTTCATATCATGTTCATGAAGCCTTAGTTTAAGGGTCACTTCAGGACTTGATCCTTGCTGTTAAGATTCTGGCCTCTGGCAAAACCAGCAATACAGTCTCCTTGTAGGAGACGAGTGAGAGAGAAGCTCCAGCAGGCAAGTTCCCTCATATGGCTAAGTGGAAGGAAAGAGGTGAGGCTGAGAAACAGCCGAGGCACAGGTGATGGACACCCAGTTCGGCTGGGGCAGGTGACATCTACTCTGAGTCAAACAGCACAGCAGATCTGGAGGAGAGTGGGCTTTGCAGGCACAACAAAGTGCATATATAAAGATCAGGAGACGTGGGCAGTTAGCAGTGTGCTGTGGCTGGAGACTAGAGGAGGAAGGTGGAGGGGCAAGGTGGGGCTGAGCAGCAGGTAGGGCGCATGCCTGGAATTTCAGGCCCGGGTCCATGCATTGTAGTTGTCATACTGCTTGTTAATGGACAATGAAACAGAGAAAAAGAGAAGAAATTGGGGAGTGGGATTACATAAAAGAGAGGGGAACTGGGGAATGAAAGAAGGAACTTCCATTCATCTACAGATGGGAACAAAGAGGTAGGGCAAAGGAAAGGAGAAGGAAGAGTTTGCTTCATGATCATTAATTATATTGCTTATGTTTTCTTAGTTTTCTGTATGTGTGTTATATTCCAAAAATTTAGAAAGGTTATCAAAACAGACAATGCTAACTTTAATTTAAAACAGGAGAGGTAGAAGTGGGCACCCTGTCTTACCTGAGGTAGGGCTGTCCTGGGATGGGCTGCCAGTTGTGGCCATTATCCCAGCAGGAGGCGCCAAAAGGCTCGTAGTGTACATGACTTCCTCGGCCCCTGCAGTAGTCGGTGGGGGAGAACGAGTTTCCCAGGGAGACCCTCCAGGTTTTTTCTCACTGATGATCTGAGCCCAGGGCACGGACGATATGGAAGCCCATGTCTGTCTGTCAACGGTCACCCACTGAGTTCTGGCCACCCTCCTGGTAGCTGCACATTCAAAGTGATAGTAACAGGGTACTGACATGCTTGACCACTTTGATTCAGATATGAAATTGTCGAGACATTGAAACCTTATCAAAGGGCAAATGCAATGTGCACCTGTAATATAGATAATCTAGGGGCTTAAACTTTACTCTGAACTGAAATAAATGGACCTAAATAAGCATTGTTTTTCCTAAGCACCAATGAACACACACACACACACACACACACACACACACACACACACACACACACCTCTGAATCTCTAGGAACCCCAGCCATGGTGTTTGGGGGTCAGTTAGCTGTCTCTCAAATTGATTTAATACATTTCTAATCATGTGACATAGTGAAAAGATTTCGGGTTCTGAGGTGAGGAGATCCAAACAGATTAGTCGTGACTCTGTCTCCTCCATAGTGTGAACTTTGGGGCAAATTGCTTAACTCCTTTTAGCTTCCTCATGAAAATGAGGATACCAGTATTAATAATAATACCTGCCCTCCAACATCACAGGATTGTTATTAGTTAAGACAAATCCTTGGCTCGTGCCTGGAATTTCAGCACTTTGGGAGGCAGAAGCAGGCAGATCACTTGAGGTCAGGAGTTTGAGACCAATCTGGCAAACATGGTGAAACCCCAGCTCTAGTAAAGATACAAAAAAATTAACTGTGCATCGTAGCAGGGTGCCTGTAATCCCAGCTACTTGGGAGGCTAAGGCTGGAGAATCGCTTGAACCTGGATAGCGGAGGTTGCAGTGAGCAGAGATCGAGCCACTGCACTCCAACCTTGGCAACAGAGCAAGAGTCTATCTCAAAAGAAGGAAAGATGGAAAGAAGGAAAGGAGAAAGAAAGAAAGAAAGAAAAGAAGGAAGGAAGGAAGGAGGGAAGGAGGGAAGAAGGGAAGAAGGGAAGAAAGGGAAAGAAAGAAAGAGAAGGAAGGAAGGAAGGAAGAAAGGGAAACAAAGAAGAAGGAAGGAAGGATCTTCCCTCATTGGCCTTTTAAAAAATTGTTGGATGTTCTTACCTGTTTATTAACGTAGTAGAAATTAAAGTCAGTTTTTTCAAGTTATACAAAACTGAATTCTATTGAAGGATTTTATGTTTATAACTTACGTTGAGGACAGTTGCTTTCTTTAAAATACTCAGATTTCTCAACCAGAACATGGTGTATTTCTTCATTTATTTAAATACTCCTTTATTACTCTCATTAAAATCTCGTAGTTTTCTTTGTATAAAGCCAGCACCTCTCCTTGTAGGATTATAGGTAGGCATTTTATGATTTTTTCTTGTGATTAGAAATCACAAGCTTTTGTCATATTATCCTGGAAAGTTTTCTGATTTTGTATAATTGTCATGATGCCAGCTATTGTGCTAATTTTCTGCAGTAAATGTGTTTTTCTATTTAATGGAGTTGGTTTCTTTTCCTCTACACCACCCAGTCATCCTTGTTTCCTAGCCTGCTGACACCTATCAATTCTTGTCTCTTGGGGAAGCCTGTGTCTCCTCTAGGCTAGGGTAGGAGCCCTCTCTGTGCTCTCTGTGTACAATGGTTCTTTGTAGGCTGGATCATGACTATTGGTTCACTTGCCTGGGCTCTCTCCTAGGTCTGAGAGCTCAGGAAAGAGAGAGAACATTTGTAGAGCTGTGTTTTTAACAGCTAGCCTAGTGTCTGGATGGAAATGTGTTTTGATGAGTAAATAAATGAATGAATTCTGATGACAATATTGTCTCAGTGGGTCCATTGTTGGATCCCGCTGAGAAAATATTGACTTTTAATGAGCTACCTCCATTTTATATTATTTCCAAATAGGAAAAATAAGATAACCACACCTTTTGTGTCTTTAGTGATGACACTGCTGATCATGTACTCAAGATGCTGGGGAGGCAGGAGCCTCCTGCAGGCCATTGGCGGCAGCTTTCCCACTGGTGTCAAGTCATTAACGTATTTTTGGCATCATTATCGAACCAGTTACAGACTGAACTAACCATGCCGTAAAATATTGACTTCACTTCACCATTTCATGTGAATTTCGGGAGCGATATCGCTAAATGCTTTGCTGAAATATGAATACTTTTACCACAATGCACTGTGATAATATAAGACAATAGCATTGAAGGAGGCTGGGTGAAGGGTACCGGGGAACTCTGTATATTATTTTCGCAGCTTTTTGTGAGTCTTAAACTATTTCAGAAGAAAAAGTCATCAAAATACATATTAGAAGTACATTATGGCAATGGCATTTTCTGCCTTTGCCTGATCTTGTAGAACCCATACTGGCTCATATAGATCTGTTACTTAAGTAAGCTGAAGTGTAACTTCATTGATGGAGAAGGGATTGAGGTAAGGATTTTGCCTATATATGCGAGCCTAAAGGGAATAGGAGCCAGACACAGCAAGGGGAGGAAAGGGTGAGAATGCGTCTTACCCAAGGCTGGGAGAGTATGGGAGGCACTGACCCATGTGGCCGTGGCCCTGGCAGGAAGCTCAGGAGGCCTGTCTGTGCTCAGGGTCTCCCCTCTTTCTGAAGGAGCAGCTGTCTTTATCCAGGGAGAGGTCCTCAGAGCAGATGCCCAGGGTGTGCTCTGGGCCCAGCGTCGGGGGCTTGTACTTGGCAGTGTTTTCTGGCTTTTGGTTGTGGGCTTTGAAGTCCTGGCAGTTCCCCTGGTAGCTGCACCTTCAGGGAGGCAGTCAATGGTAACTTTAACGTGCTTGACACTTTGGACATAAAAAAATGGAAAGGTCATTGGACAGCAAATATACTGAATGTGGAGATTCAAACCTTTCTCTGAACAGCATCAAATAAAACCAAAAGAAGTATTTCTCCTTGAATTCAAATTAAGATAAACTATCAATTTGTAAAAAAATCTGTGATGAATCACACTGAACAGAATGCAAAGCTCTCAAGCTTAAAAGTATCAGACATTTGCTATGTTTCCTGAACAGATCCTGATCCCTGTCAGAGCCTTTCTTCCACCTCCAGCCCTCAGCCACTCCAGGATTCTGGTACATGTCCCTGGAAGAGGAATTAGTCTCCTTCGTATGCCTTATGGACACAACTAAAAGCCAAAAGTGAAATTTGGGGGAATCAGAAGCTTCCAGACAGAAACACCTTGAAAAATAGGCTCCCACAGCATTAGCAGGAGAGCTTAATTCAGAGGGAAATCTACCCAGCATCCTTGGTTGCTCCATGAAGGAAAGAAGGAAGTGGGATCAGGTATTAGTTTCACCTTATATCTTCCCTAGGGAAGGCTCAAGTGGTGGCAGCAGTGGATATGAGGATGACAGGCTCCTATTAGCCCATAGGGTCCCTTCCTCTGGGAAGACAAAGACTGGCCTATAGTCTGGTGGGCAGAGCCTGTGTTGGATTTTGGCCCCCACCTCCCCTGAATGCATGTAGAATGAGAACTGTCTAATTACAGGAGTGGCCTTGCAGTCTCATTTCCCCTCTCTGCCCTACTTCTGGGCCCATTAACACCCTGCATGCAACACCAGCCTGAGCCTTGCTCCCAGATCAACCAGACATGGGGCTAAGTACATCCAGCCAAACTATTACCCAGCCAGGGTACTTGCTTTCAGGCACATCAGCTTTAGCATCAGCTTGTAAATATGTTCTCTCTTCCTAGGCATTTGTTCTTGTTGAAGGAGCACAAAGTGGGAGAATTAATTGAGACCGGTGTGTGTGTGGGAGAGGGGGGTGGGGGGTGGGAATGTCACGGAAAGACTCTCCAAATAAATGAGATTGACTCAACCCTAAGATCTGTACTGAGAATCGGGCAGGTGAAGTCATTCTACCAACTGCCCATTTCATCTTCTTATCAAGTAGCCTTGTCCCACACAAACTGAGATTCCTTCTACAGCATAATCAAAAGAAGCCCTACAATAAATATAAAGCAAAGTGTCCCCTGAAGTGGGGCTGCAGATTTACTGTATCCTTCATTGCACTTCAAGAGAAAGTGATGAAGAGCCTACTATGTGCGAGGCACCAAGGGGAAGGCAGGCTGTGAGGCTGAAGGAAACTACTTCTTCTACCTTCCAGTTCCATTCATTGAGACACACGTAGAAATGTCAACTGTGTCACAACCCGGAGTAACATAGAGTCCAAATGACATACAAGTGCTGTGTTATGGGATGGTAGAAGATGAAGACTGACTTTGATTGGGGGATATTTAAAAAAGAGGAGGTAGTATCTAAGCTGCAATTAACAGGCAAATAGGGTTCTGAAATATGCAAAAGTAGGGAAGAAATTTCAGAAGGAGACAACAGCATGACCAATTTGGCACAGAGGGGCATGAAGGTGGGTCATGGTTGGGTAGGGACTGGATATTACAGAGTGGCCAGGTCCCCAGCACAGAGTCACAAATTCAAATGTCTACAAAAACCAAGTAGTTAATATGAGAAAAAACGTGCAAGGAAATAGGGGGCAGAGAGGACTATGGAAAAGAGGGAAAAGGTGCCCTTCCTAGTGCAGGAATGAGGGTGGCAGCTACTCAGTTCCAGTTCCTTATTGCCTTGTGTTGGGGGGAGGATCTAGAATTGCCAGACCTTTTGCAAGAGAATCCAGAAATTCATTTTTTTTTAAATGGCGAAGTTCTCTGATTTTTAACACAGTGTAGCTAAACACAACACCTGAGGGCAGCTTTCAGTTGCTAGTGTGCTGGGGGGACCCTGGTCTGGAGAGTCTATGAGAGGAGTTTGGGAGGTTGGTACTCACCCAGCACACCAGACATGCCGCTGGTAAATGTGTAATTGATAATGGGGTATTTTTCCTCCATCTCCCAGAAGTCAGAAAGATTCCTTCCTGCAAAAATCACACCAACAGCATCAGATCTTGGGTTTCATCTATTGGACAGTTTTGTCTATTTCTCAGCCCAGAGAGCTTGTCAAAGAATGTCTTAGTGGTTTACCTGACTTTCCTGTCATCACACAGATGAAGATGCAATCTGATGCATTGCTTTGACTCACTGTAAGACAAACCAGTATACAATAAGACTTAGCAATGGGTTTGAAGCTGTAAATCTTTGATTGAAATGAAAATTAAGCTAAAAGTACCTAACTTAGGATAATACAGGAAAATAAGGCTGACTCTTTACTCTTAAGGCAGTCCTGATTTTCCAATTTCTTTATTTTATTTGACTGGGTTTGGGGGATGGTGTAGTGGCTAAGGGCAGAGCCTCTGAGGTCAGCTTCCACAGTTACAACATCAGCTCTGCCACTTACTGGCTATGCAAACAAGAATGAACTGCTTGACCTCTTCAGGACTCAGTTTACCCCTTTATAAAATGGTGAAAATTCAAATCCCACAATCCCTTATTTGTAATTCCCGAATCCCCAAATCTCTGTAAGGCAGCATGTTTTGTGTGAGTTTGGTATCAAAACTTGAAAAATATGAGGCTATGATAGTCTTTATTGATCCTACTTAGTGTAAAGGGCTGAACATTTTGCCAAATTACCATTAATGTGTTTGATTATACTGGGCTTCTCTGGATGCTGTTGGAGAGGTTACATCAGGTATGATGTGGTCACACCATTAGATCTTCAAAAGCCTGAAAACTTCTGAATTCCTAAATATACTTTTCTCTGACGATGCTGCCTAAAGAACTGTGGACATGGGGTTGCATGTCTCTCATAGGATTACAGGAAAATCCAAGGAGATAATGGGAGTGAAGCACTAGGTATGGTGCCCAGCAGATAGAAGAGCATGGTAGCTAGAGTAATCATTATTGTTATTATTAATGTATTACTATTATTATATACATTAGCATACTAACATAAGAGCACAGGCTAAGAGCCAGATCACCTGGTTTAGAATTCTGCTTCTGCAGAGTGACGTTGAGCAATTTACTTAACCCCTCTGTGACAGTTTCCTCACCTGTCAAGTAGGGATAAATATAGTAGCTGCCCCAAAAGGTTGTAGTGAGGATCCAATGCAAGAATACATGGAAAGCCCTTAGAATATTATCTGACACCTAATGGTAGCTGTTACTATTTCTCTTTCTCCCTTCCTCCTGCTTTTAAAACAGTAGCTGCTCCACAGTGCATCACACCATCTTTCTGCTGAGACCAGAATGATCCTTGCTTTTCAAAGTGGGTCCCTAAGGAAATGTGATTTTCCTGGGGGTTACATGAAACCACCTTATAAATGAGGCGTATGTTTCTTAACTGTACTCTAAACATGGGCTTAGGCTCCATATAGATTTAAACCTGAATTCTGGCACCAAATTTGAGTAAAATATTCAACCTCTCTAGATCTCAGTTTTGTCCTCCTTAAAATGGGGGTATATTGACCCATCAGAAGATGTTTTCTTGAGTCTGCCTACGTTCCTTTAACTTTTGAGCTTTGGATTCTTCCTCCAATTTTACGCATCCCAGAAATATGAAGATTTAAATATTGGTGTATTTATTGGTGTGGAAACTGGGCCACACTGATTATCTAAATAAAGATAATATGAAGGTTTCTGCCAGCCTAACCTATGGCAGGGGTTGGAGTGAGGAACATACTATGCTTGATTATCTACCACAACAGATGCTAAACCTCAAAATTACCAAAGTGTTTGCAAGATGAACACACCTGAGAGGATGGAGGTTGACTTAAAAATCTCTGTGAGGTAGCTGGTGGAATTTCCAATGATATCTACCAGTAGAGCTGTAAAATCTGCAAGACAAATTTAGGAGGTTTAAATTTCTGCTTCAGAGACAAAAGGAGAAAAGTATACTGTATGTGGATTTTTCAGAGTAGATTTTACAAGTTTGATTTAGTTTAGTGTATTGAGGAATATCAACAATGGTATAGAGAAATACTACTAATTCTAAAAAAGGAAAAGTCTTGATTTCAGGACAGAGGTAAACTTTGGATCCACTGTTAAAATCTTTCTTCTTTTATTGTCCTCTCTCCCAACCCCTTCTCTACTAACATCTAAGAGCTAAGAAGGACCACATTGTTGAATAATGGTCTTTTTGGGGGGGTTTCCCCATTGTTTTACCTAATCGTTTTTAGAATACCAACTCCATCTGATAGGAAGAGCCCCTCAGACAAGTAAGGTAAATTTACAGACTTTGGAGTTGGAAAATGAAAGTGCAATGTGAAATTTACTGGTGGATTATAAACTATGAACAATAGAGACAAGACACTTTATAAAATTATCACCAGGAACCTTTCCTTCTGCCCCCCTTTTAAGGGGACTCATGGTGGTGGTGGTGGTGGTGGGAAGTGGTGTCTGAGATAATATTTTTCAGCATTTCAGGTTATACAATCGTTGTGGACTTTCTTTCTCAGCTGAGTTTGAACAGGGCCATTGCCTGACATGGTGGGCACCATTGACTGTGAAAATTCCTAATATTCTTCTAGTCAAACAGCTGCCATCTCCTTCTTTGTTCATTTATGGCTTTCCACAATCCAACACATTCTTGACTTCTAAACAAGGCGAATGTGTTTGAGGAGTCCCAGTCATTTTCTAGAGAGGAAGCTTCTTGTGTCCAATGGATGATTTCCCATCATACTGTGTAAATGCTCCTTTCACTTATTAATGGGATCATGAGTTTGGGCAGGAGCAAGCTAACTTGAAAATACAGAACCACAAGAGGTAGGAAAATGTTATGTGACAATTAGTGGAATGTGTAGCCAAGACCAACAGATGATGGGCACTACTATGTAAGAACCGAAGCCATGAGGTGCTCTTACTACCTCTGTACAGGCACATTTTAACCTCCTGGAGGGAGAACACCTATGCAGTATGTAGTATACCTATGCAGGTACAGACATCTGTATATGCAAACATGGGCACCCTCTTTCTCTGTCTTTTTTTTTTTTTTTTGAAACTGAGTCTCGCTGTGTTGCCCAGGCTGGAGTGCAGTGGTACAATCTTGGCTCACTGCAAGCTCCACCTCCCAGGTTCACGCCATTCTCCTACCTCAGCCTCCCAAGTAGCTGGGACTACAGGGGTCCCCCACCACACCTGGCTAATTTTTAAATATTTTTAGTAGAGACAGGGTTTCACCGTGTTGATCTCCTGACCTTGTGATCCACCTGCCTTGGCCTCCTTCTCTGTCTCTTTAGACCAGTCTGTTCTTAGTCAATTGTGGAAACTGAGGAAGGGTATTATCTCTTAGTCATTCCATATATTTTCTTCCTGCTTCTAAAAATTCTCCTTTGTTTATTACTCCATTTATCTAATAAATATTCATTGAGCATTAGCAGTGTGCCATACACTTACTAGGTACTGGAGAGTTGTGTAAGACATACAGAAGAAGTTGAGGTTAGTGGGGAAGCAAGATTCATAAACAGACCAATAAAATGCAACTTGGAAGTCATTATTAATCTTGCATAGAAGCTATGAGCATGGCTTTGAAGCCACACACAAAACATGGAGTCCAGGTTTTGCCCAAGGCTCAGAGACATGATGTAACTTGTCCAAAGTTCCAGAGTACGTGGCAGAGCTTGGATTTCACTTGAGGTCTGCCTTGGGCTGAAGCTTCCACTATTCCCAGTATTCTTACCACCACTCATGAAACCTCTTGCTCAATGCATTTTGTCAATTCTCCCTTTAGAACTGTTTTCACAATCTGCTTTTTAGGTTTGGGAGAAAGCCAGTTATTATTAACTCAAAGATATTCTTTGCATTTATGAAAGTTTGAATTATCTAATTTACTAGCAATGATCAAAATGAATAATTCATGACTACCTTCATACATAAATAGAAGGTAGAATTAAGAAAACCTTTTTACCTATCATTTTGGTAATGATTTAAGACTGTCTCTTAACACTCAGTGTTGGCAAATGTGAGTGGAGAAACATAGGCATTCAAACATTGTTGGTAAGATTGTAAACGCATGCAAGACTTTTAGAACACATTTTAGCAATTCAGATCATTATAATATTGTTTCCCTGTCAGCCAACAATTCTATTTTGAGGGCTTTATTCTGCAGAGGTAATTGGGCAAGTATTCTAAGTGATTTTACACAGGTGTTCATCACAGCCTTGTTTATAATTGCAAAAATATGAGGAATTAGCCAAGTTTCCAACAAGAGGAGACAAATTAAATAAATCATGGTACATTCTGTCAATGAATACTAAGAATTCATGTGAAGGATGAGGCATACTTGCATTCACTGGAATTAAATGGATTTTTAAAGACATATGGGTTAGTTTGAGAGTGGATTATAAAATTACATGAAAAAAATGAAAGATACTGATGGTTGTCTTTCAATATCGATTCTCCCACCTTCCTTTAGTAAGAGAGTATCAAATTTTAGTTGGGAACATGGTGGTTTAACACAATGACTATAATTTCAAGCTTGCTTTGTGGGTGAGTGTAGCCATGAGATTAAATTCTGGGCAATAGGATGTAAGAGAAATGTGAATGGTTTCCAGGCTGTGAATTCATAGTACCTGTGCATGCCTTGTGGGATGGTTTCGATCTGTGTTCTTGCCCAAATCTCATGTCAAATTGTAATCCACAATGTTGGAGGTGAGGTGTGGTGGGAGGTGATTGGATCGTGGGGGCAGACTTCTCATGAATGGGTTAGCACCATGCCCTTGGTGCTGTTCTCATGATAGTGAGTTAGTTATTGCGAGATCTGGTTGTTTAAAACTCCTTTTCCCGCTTTCTCCCTTGCTCCTGCTCTAGTCATGTAAGATCTGCCTGCTTCTCCTTCCCTTCTGCCATGATTGTAAGTTTCCTGAGGCCTCCCCAGAAGTTGAGCAGAAGCAGTCATGCTTCCTGTACTGCCTGCAGAACCATGAGCCGATTAGACCTCTTCTCTTTATAAATTACTCAGTCTCCAGTATTTCTTTGTAGCAATGGAAGAATGGACTAATACACCTTCCAAATCCTTTTTCCCCTTCCTTGTAGTTGGACTGTGGATGTGCAGACAGCCTACCTTAGGCTATGAGAACACAGATCCATATGTAAGGCAAAGCAACAAGCTAGAAGGAGCCTGGGTCCCAAAACCATCAAACCATTAGAGCAGCCCCAGCATGTCTACATGCCCAGATTATCACACATGAAAGCAATTAACTTCTACCTTCTTTAAACTGGACTATTTTGGAGTCATTTGTTATAGTAGCCCACCCTGTATTCTAAATAATACAGAGAATGGGTTCCTATATGTAGAGCAGGATGTCTCCACAAATGAGTAGATATTAGTTGGGGTACATAGGTAGGTAGGTAGGTTAGATAAGTAGCTTAGATGACAGGTTGGATAGATAAGTGGGTTATATAGGTAGTATAGACAGCCTTATATAACATTCATCAGCATGTTAATAGTGACTACCAGTGGATGGTGGGATATCAGTTATTTCTGGTTTCTTAGTTTACCTGTCCATGTTGCATAGCATCTTGATATCACAATACATTATTTTTAAAATCAAGAAAATTTAAGCAAGTTTCATTTAGGAAGAAAAAAAGGAAAATATGCAAATATACCCTCAAAGGAGGGCTATAGGTCAGAGTTGAAAACATTAAAAAGAAAATGATCCAGATCTAAAGATCATCCAAAAAGACATCATCCCCAAAGGCGCTGAGCAACGGCAAGTTGTTGGCCTAAGTGTACAGCCCCTCATGGTAGCGCTGTGACTTCTTGTCAAACCTTGCGAAAGTTGCTGTGACCTACCAGAGGAACAGCATGCAATTTTATCAGTAGATAAAGATCCATGGATCATTCTTTTCATATAATTGTTACAAGTGTGTGGAAACATGATCTGACTCATGAAATAAAATTATAAACTTTCTCCAGGCAGATGTAACTTTTAAAATCTTATTTGTATCTTTCACACAATCAGGGTAGGGACACACTCAGCACAGACTTCTACCCTCAGCAGGGGTTAATGAAATGGTGAGAAAGGCGTGATTATGAAGAATTTTTTTCCTCGCAAATGTATTTGTTGATGAGATTCACAGGGTAAATTACGTAAGATAATAGACATTAAGTACTCAATGTAGGGTCTGGCATATAGTACTCATTAAATATTAGTAATTCTTTCCTTTAATATTTTCACAATATTTGTTTTAGAAATTCTACTCTGTGGGGGAAATAATCTGAAACAGGGAAGAGTTTATGCACAAAGATGTCCAAAGCAAAATTATTATATTAAGAAAAACCTAGATTCACTCAAAAGTCTAAGAACAGCGTAGTGGCTAAGAGAATGCTTGCATTCACTGGTTACATAGCCATTACAAATGTTTATGAAGAGCTTGTAATATGGTGGAAAATATTAATATTAGACTAAGTGGGGAAAAGTACAAGAGGCTTTGGTGGCCTTTAGTGCGTGCTTCCCTTACAATCTAGTCTTCAACAAGCAGCCAGAAGGATCCTTTTAAAATGTCAGATCATGTCTGTTCCCTGTGCAGACAATCACAATGGCTTCCTTCTTATTCCGGGTGAAAACTAGAATCCTTACAGTAGACCTTAAACTTTTATGTGCTCTGCAACACCCTCCCCACTTTGCCCTCACCAATCGGAGCTAATTTCCTACAACTCTGTCCTGGCTAACCGGCTCCACCTATGCTGGCTTCTCTGGTCCTCCTCATGCTGCTGCTTAGGCATTTGTCTGGAACACTGTACCCAGGAATAACCACAGGGCTGGCCCCTCACATCCTGAAGATCACCCCTCAACCCTTACCTCATTTGGAGGAGACTTTCCTGACCACCCTACACACAGTAATATCCCCCACCGTGACTTTTCCCTCCAGCTTTCCCCTGGTTCATGGTCCCCATGGTCAGGCTGTCAGCCCACATATCATGTACTTGCAGTGCATTTATTTACTCTCTGCTCCCCGCTAGGAATCTATGTGCCATGGGAGCAGGAGGTGTGTTCACTTTGCTCTGTGTGCTTTACCCATACCTAGAAGGGTGCATGGCTCATAGTGCACGCTCAGACAGAATTACTGAATGGGTGAATTAGTGGTGCAAAAATTGTCACTTTTATTTTTCAGTGTTCTCTAAAATAAGGAACATGTAATACTTTAAAGTTTTATTTATAAAACTAGCACATGAATATACTCTCCTTGGGAAAAAAAGTTCAGATAATCTAAGGCTCTTTTAACCAACATTCTTCCACTCTAAAACACACTCCAATCTTCTTTTCAGAGGGAATCACCTATCTGGTGCCCACATATGTGTTCTTATCAATAACACTGTGCTCTTCATATTTTTGGGTAACTTTCTTTTTGTAATTAAAAATCTCTTGGAAGTTTTTCCATGCACAGGCCAAATTTGAGGACTCGCTCTCATTTATGTATTATCTGTGGCTGTTTTCCAAAGTTTAATTAGACTTTGGAGACTTAATGGAAACTACTTAACCATTTTCCCTCATGATGGATATTTAGGTTGTTCCTCAATTTTGCAATTAAAATAGTGCTTCATGAACATTTTCCTCCTGTCCCTTTTGCACACACAACTGTTTTTCACTGGGATAATGAATATGCACATGGTTAAGGGCAGTGGATAGGAACATATTTTCCTATCTTACATTGAGGAAAAACAGAAACTTATCTAAAAGGACACAAGCAAAATTAGAAAAGCTGCAAGCCTCACAGTTAGCTGTACCCACCTGATAAGTCATTGGTCCGATTGTTTAAACAGTAGCAATACCTTGTAGGGAATTTGGCGGGATCCACCGTCTTCAGGTTAGAAACTGTGAAGAGAAAGGATTCAACAGAGATCCTGACACACAGACCGGCCCTGCAACACATCTCCACCACTACCACCACCATCAAGAAGAGCTAGGCAGCACTCACTGTTGTAAACAGCTACAGAAAACTTGTGGAAGGCGAAGGAACTGTAGGAAGTGACACTCAGCAAGGAGAAGAACTTCTTGCTATCTGCCAAAACATACCAGATAAAGAGACAGACAAATGGCTACTAAGGTAACAATGAGTAAATGATACAAATAGGTAAACAGTCCCTAGAAATTAACAATACAGATAAAGAAAGCAATGATGAAAATAAGCAAACAAAAAAGTAATAGAAATAAAAAATAACAAAGTAAAACTAAACCAAAAAACTGAAGAGTATGTATCATTTGTCTATATTTCCTGATCCATCCCAAGCTGTAGCAACTCTCTAAGTAAGATTCCAAGGTGTATTAGGCTCCTGAGGCTGCTGTAACAAATTATGACAAACTCGGTGGCCTAAAACAGCAGAAATTTGTTCTTTCACAGTTCTGGGGACTAGAAGTCTGAAACTCAGTAGGGCACACTCCCTTCAAGGTTTCTAAAGGAGTATCTGTTCTTGCCTCTCTCAGCTCTGGCAGCTGCCTGTGTCCCTTGGCTTGTGGCCACATCTCTCTCTGTTCTATCATCACATGATCTTTTCTTCTGTGTGTGTCTCCTTTGCCTCTTTCTCGTAAGGGCCCTTGTGGTGGCATCTGGCACAACACAGATAATCCTGGACAATGGCCTCATCTCGAAATCTTTAACTCAATCAATCAATATGTTATCATATCAGGTGATATTCACTCTTTTGACATATAAAGAAGTATTCACAGATTCTGGTAATTACAAAGTGGATATCTTTGGCCATTTTCAGTCTACTACATAAAGAAAGGGAATTTTTTTTAAACCAGTAATACTAACATAAACAATCAGGTTTAGGAATACATGCATGAGCATCTTGTCTACTCTCCATCAGTGCCTGTTCTTGGTTTGTATCTGGAAGACAGTGCAGCAGAGGGATATCTTTCCAGAACATGGTCTGAGAATCAGCCACCTGCATCAATTCACAAGGTGCACCTATTAAAAGGGCACATTCCTGGATGTGACTCAGGTCTACTAAATCAGATGGTGAAGAAAGGGGAAAGGTGGGTATGCCCAGGGTTCTGGATTTTAACGAAGTTGTCAGGTGAATTTTTTTTTTTTTTGAGATAGGGTCTTGCTCTGTCACTCAGGCTGGAATACAATCATGCAGTCACAGCTCACTGCAGCCTCGACCTCTCAGGCTCCAGTGATCCTCCCACCTCAGCCTCCCAAACTGCTGGGTTTATAGGCATGACCCACTGTGCCCGGCCTCAGGTGATTTTTATTCATATAAATTTGTGACCCACTTTGATGGTGGATGGAATGGCAGAATCATTAAACTTTGGTGCACGCAAAGCACCAGCGGTGCCCATTCTCCCCCTCGGCTCTCTGGCTATTGCCGTCTGGAGACCCTAATGCGGTACACTGGGTGAGAACCAGACTCTGTATTTAATAAGCTCCTTAGAAGAATGGGGTATACACCAAAATGTGAATACTCCAGTACTCAGTTTTTTTCATGATAAGAATCACAAATAGCACTTGGTAAAAATGTACGTTTTGGGTCCCATCCAAGATCAGCTGGATCAGAATCTCTAGAGCAGGAACCTGGGGAGATGAATATTTAATAAGTATGTCAGGTCCTTCTTATTGTGCAACAAGTTTCGGGAACTTTGGCCTACATCACAAACCCAGATTAAACATGTCTGAATTCCAATTCCATATGGCAATGGGCTTGCTTCAATGTCTGCATCTAGAAAATGGGAGTGAGAGTACCACCCCATGGAGGTTATACAAGGATTAAATTAGTCATTGGAAGAGTTTTGAGCTCCTTGAGGGTACCAGTTACGGCATTCAAGTCTCTGCAAAATTTCGCAGAGTCCAGGGCAGGGCCTTGCAGAGGAAAGGACAGGATTAACAGTTCAGGGCTGGAAGGGCTAAATATTTTGCAGCCCATCCCTCCATCTGATGATTCAGTCTCTCCACAGCACCCTCTGCAGGTAGACTACTGCCTTCTTATCGTGCACCTCCCAAGGCAGCCCTATCCACGGCAACTCTCATGAGGGCAAACTGGAGGCAGGAGCTATATCCCTGTGATTTACAGTAACAGGCATTGGGACAGGGATGGATAATAATGTTTATGGGTAAATGTGTAAGTGAACAAGTGTAGAGCCACCAGGCACAGTTGTGCAGTGTGTGTATTGCACAATCCTAGGGAATGCCATTTACATAGACCTCAATGCTGAATTGGCGTTCTCCATCCCCCTTATTCTAAATTACATGTTTGTTGTTTGTTTTTGGCTACCCCTTCACCCAACAGAATGGAAGCTCCCCCAGGCCAGAGATTTCTGTTTTTTGTTTACTGCCTTATCCGCCAATACTTAGAATAGTGCCTGACATGTGATAGGTGTTCTATGAACATTGACTGAAGAATGTGAGAATAAATAATGAAGGCAGCGAGGAGTGTACGCTAGGGATCGTTCAGGGTTTGCTGTCATTCACTAAATATGTGTTACATACAAATCATTTTGCTAGACGCTAAAGAACACAGAAAGAAGATTACAATAATATCGTAATCATAATATGGTCTTAAAAAAAGAAATCCAGAATCATATTAACTTAATCAATGAGTAATTATTATTAGTTTATGGCAACAGAGTTACAATTACAAACATACGATGTCTGGAATGCAATTTACTGTCAAAATTCTTATAAATCTTCTACGTCATTCTGAGTTAGGTGGGACAATGAATTCTGCATTCTGTTTCCGTTTTTGTTTTTTGAGACCAAGTCTCACTCTTTCTCTCAGGGTAGAATGCAGTGGCATGATCATAGCTGACTGCAGCCTTGACCTTCTGGGCTCCAGCAATCCTCCCACCTCAGCCTCCTGAGTAGCTGGGACCACAGGCATGCACCGTTGCACGCAGCTAATTTTTGTATTTTTTGTGGAGACGGGGTTTTGCCATGTTGCCTAGGCTGGTCTCAAACTCCTGAGCTCAAGCAGCTTCCCAAAGTGCTAGGATTACAGGCCTGGGCCACTGAGTTCAGCCTATTCTCCACTCTGAACACCGAGAAACTTGAGACACAGAAGTGAAGTGTCTTGTCGAGGCAACAGAAAGGTTCAGAAAAGACACTGGTACAATAAAATGCATGGACCTGGATTGTGTTTTTAAAAAATGATTACCTTTTAATGCTCTACTCAACATCCCATTCACAAGCTCCGTCAGGTTAAGTGCGGAAAGATCGATTGACCTTGCAGGCAGCTCTGAAAGAGATTCAGAGATAATGTCACTGGCAGGCTTTTCTCGGCAAGAGAAAAAGTTCCTCATTTCCAAACTTCAGGTAGATATTCAACTTCTTTGCACATGTGCTGAACACAAACCAAGTGTCAGGCACAAGGGGTTCCAAGTCAAGAGGAGGGTCCCGATCTTAGGAGGTGACAGTCAACAGAGTGACAAATATAGATAAGAGAAATCCCAATGAAGCACAGGAAACATTAACTTTTAGTGACGATTGCATCTCTGCATTTGGAGAGACTCAGGACTCATATAAAACGTATCTCAAGCATAATGGGAAGCCCAAGGGCATTGCAGGAGTTCTCAGCAGTTCTTTGAAAATAAGTACCCCGTGTAAAAGTGGGGTCCACACAACCTGGCTGAGCATTGACATCACCTGGAAATATATATATTTTAAATTCCACAATTCCAGTACCTGGGCTCCATCCTCGAAAATTCAGAATTAATAGGTCCAGGATATGACCCAGGATGGAGGGAGAAATCTCCCAGGTGTGGTAGGAGTGGCAGCGTGCAGCGAGTGGAGTTAAAATTCTCACTTCCTCCGGCTATTCCTTAATGATTTGGAAACTGGCCAGGCACAGTGGCTCACGCCTGTAATCCCAGCACTTTGAGAGGCCAAGGTGGGTGGATCACGTGAGCTCAGGAGTTTGAGACCAGCCTGGCCAACATGGTGAAACCCCGTATCTACTAAAAATATAAAAATTAGCAGGATGTGGTGGCAGGTGCCTGTAATCCCAGCTACTTGGGAGGCTGAGGCAGGAGAATTGCTTGAGCCTGGGAGGTGGAGGTTGCAGTGAGCCAAGATTGTGCCATTGCACTCCAGCCTGGGCAACAAGGGTGAAACTCCATCTAAAAGAAAAAAGATTTGGAAATAACAGTTGACAAGATGGAAACAGTTGTTGATGCTCCTATTTATTCAAACGTTGCCTTCTTCAACTTTTACTTAATGATCAGATAATGATTAGAGAGATGACGTTCTCTCCACTGTGGGAAACAACAGAGGTTCAGAGAAGTGGAGGAATTACTCTGCAGCCCAGACAACCCAAGGGATTTTGGGGAGCAGCACTCACCCGTTGTAGCAAGAAACGCCACCCCCTTCTCCTTCCTCTCTTCTCCTCTAAGGCCAGACACTGGGAAGGAAACAGTCTTCATGAGAAAAATGCGAGTGGTCCAGTTCCTACCCCCAGGAACGGAAGAAGTCTTGGAAGCTTCTTTGGCATCTGCTCTCCGTGCGAGAGTCAGTGGCAGACACTGAGGAAAGGCAGATCCCAGACTTCTCTGTATGGCCCTGATACAGATTCTAACCTCTCTGGGATGGGTGTGGCCTAGAAATCCACGTTTTAATAAATAAGCTTGGTGATTCTGATACAGGGGGTCTTATTTACCCCACTCCTTAACCGAGTAGGGAAACTGAGGCCCAGAGAGGAGAAAAACCTTGAGCAGTGGTAATAAAGGGTTCAGAACCTACTTTCTAGAACTGTGGAGCAATGGCCAAAATATTAGGCCTCTTGACTACTGAGCAAATTTCATGCGGCCAAAGGAGAAAATGTCAAAGAAAAATATGAAATTTCAAAGGCATTCATTCATTCAATCTTCATTGGTTCATTCAACAAATATTCACTGAGGGCCAAGCAATATGCTAGGCAATATGAAATGGTAAAGGGGAATGAACCCAGTCTCCAGCTCCATGGGGCTTCCTGTGTGTGATTTGGTCAGGGAGGAGGAGACTCACATGTTGTGACAAGAGAGGAATGTCAACATAGTGTGGGAGCACCAGGGCACTAGCCTGGTGTCAGGGGATGGAGAAGGCCTTCTTGTGGAAGTGACATTAAGCAGAGACCAGAAGGATCAGTTGTTTTGGACCACATGCTATAGAATGACACTGCACTTGTGACTATGACTGTTGCAGTGGTCATTTTTCATGTTACATCTGGATGGAGAAGGTGCCCTACTTTACAATTTATTTTATTAAATTAAATGCGACACTGAAGCGACACGTCTTGTCAGGGTCACGGAGAGGTTCAGAAAAGAAGCTGACACACAAAAAGCCAGTATCACATGTAACATGAAAAATGACCACTGCAACAGTAGGTACCAACAGGATGGAGAAGGTGCTTTATTTTACATTTTCATTTTACAAATGGAAAGCAACAAGCCGCAGAGTCTGAAAAGTGTGCTCTGTGTTACAGAGGAAGTCAAGATTCAGGGCTGATGTAGTTACCCCTTACACCGAGGAATGTCCCGTCTTTTTCCTTCTTAACATCTTTATTTCCAGACACCGAAATAAAAGTTTTCATGAATCAAATAGGAACCTGAAAGTACAGCCTCAAACACTTCATAACATCCTCAGAAATCATCTTGTCCAACACTTTGAAGAATGGATAAACTGAAATCCCCAAACTTGATTTGATGTACCTAAATCCCATATTGGGCTAGTGGCTAAGATAAAATCAGAAAAAAGCAATCTCAACTCTTTGTCCATGTTCTCGCTCGCTTCTTTTTATTTTACTTTTTAATGTAATTTAAATTAATTGTAATTTTATTGAAAAACAACATGAAATCTACTCTATTAAATTTTTTTTTTTTTTTTTTTGAGTTGGAGTCTCGCTCTGTTGCACAGGCTGGAGTGCAGTGGTGTGATCTCACTGCAACCTCCGCCTCCTGGGGTCAAGCAATTCTCCTGCCTCAGCCTCCTGAGTAGCTGGGATTACAGGCCCATGCCACCATGCCCGGCTAATATTTGTATTTTCAGTAGAGATGGGGTTTCACCATGTTGGTCAGGCTGGTCTCAAACTCCTGACCTCATGATCCACCCGCCTCGGCCTCCCAAAGTGCTGGGATTACAGGCGTGAGCCACCACACCCAGCCCAATTAACAGATTTTTAACTGCACAATACGGTATTGTTACCGATCGTCACTATGCTGTACAGCAGATCTTTAGAACTTACTCATCTTGCGTAACTGAAATTTCATACTCTTGGGACAGCAAACCTCCCATTTCTCTCTCCTAATCCCCTGGTGACCAACTTTCTACTCTCTGCTTCTGTGAGTTTGACTATTTTAGATACCTCATGAAAGTGGTATCACGCAGTGTTTGTCCTTCTGTGACTGGTTCATTTCACTTAGCATACTATCCTCCAGGTTCACTCATGTTATTGCATATGGCAGCGTTTTCTTATTTAAGACCAAATAATATTGCATTGTATGTATATACCGCATTTCCTTTTTTTGTTTATCCGTCAGTGGCCATTTAAGTTGCTATCTTCTGCTTTTCGGATACCATGTTGAAACTGAGTCAAGTCAACTGTTGCCTGCTTAAGCCAATTTGTCCTTTTACCAATTGTCAAGCTTTTTGGTTAAATAACAGAGCTTCTGGGGTTAGAGGTCGGTGGGGACTCTGACCCCCCTTCCCCATAATAGGGCTACTGGAGGCAAGGGGCTTATGTCACAACGAAAGGAAGTCTGAGACAGATATAATCAAGCAGGGCAAATGCTGCCAACTAGTCAGCTCTCTAGCTTGGGTGAGGCCACTTCAACCCCTCAGGCACCTGCGTGGCACTTTACCTAAGCAGTCTACTCTTCACCAGCTGCTATAAGATCTGCAGGAGGCACCAATCAACCTTGCTTGTGACCTGCCAAGGCAACAGAGTTCTCCATGCAGGTGAGGGACCAGGATTATGTCAGTTCTGAGTCTCCAGGCAGCAGGGATGCCCCAGGCTACGAGGCTGGCAGGATTCCTATACCTTTCCAGCCAGAATGGGGGGCCCTGTGTCATCTTACTCACTGAGCAGCATTTTTTTTTTTTTTTTAGCACCATTCCTTTCACCAAGGAAAGAGTATTTCTACCACTCCTTTTTTAAATTACAAATCCTTGAGTGGATTTTGATAACAATATTTGAAGTCTGAACTAAACACCAGTGGAGCACAGATTTTTGAATAGGATGTAATACAGAGCATTTTTCAAATAAGTACCCTGACAGATTACAAAAAGATATTTTTCTATTTTTGGATAAAAAGACCACCATAATAATATCTTTAAAATAGAAGTTTCCTAGCACTTTTTGTACTTCTTCATGTTTAGTATTTTATCACCTTTTATCCTTCATGATTACCTGTGGGGCAAGAATTGTAGTTCCCATTTAAGGAGGAGAAAATTGGAGGCTCAAATAGGAAAAATATTTATGGAAAGTTATCCTACTTATACACAATAAATTGGTACAATTGGTGCTATCAGGAAAGGGAAGCTGTCAGCTGGGGGAGCATTTAACTTTATACACTTTTGTACCTTTTGCTGTTTGAACTGTGTGAATGTACTAATTAAAAATAAATGAGAATATAAAAATAGTGCAGGCCTGGTGGCTCACGCCTGTAATCCCAGCACTTTGGAAGGCTAAGGTGAGTGGATCCCTTGAGCTCAGGAGTTAGAGACCTGCCTGGGTAATATGGTGAAACCCTGTCTCCACCAAAAGTACAAAATACTATCCAGATGTGGTGGTACATGCCTGAGGTCCTAACTATCAGGAGGCTGAGGTGGGAGAATCTCTTGAGTCTGGCGGGTGGAAGTTGCAGTCAGTTGAGATTGTGCCACCTCACTCCCATCTGGGTGACAGAGTAAGACCCCATCTCAAAAAAAAAAAAAATAAATGAATAAAAATAAAAAGTAACATAATTTCCACCAAAACCATACCAAAAATTGTCCTCCTTGTTTACTAAAATTTAGAAACAGAAACCTGTTTTCCCTGACTCCTCTTGTCCTTCCTGTTGCAATGTATTCACCATTGTACTGCAAAGTCAATTTCATAGCATCAAAAAGGAAAGCCAAAGAAAGATGAAATTATTACAAAGGCGATTATGGCAAGTAAAAATACTTCCCATTATAAAATCTTCTATCACCAATGGAATGCCACAGTCTTTGTGGATTTATTAAGATCACAAGGATTCAATGAACCATAAAGAAATGAGCAGCTCACAGGAACCATTGTTGTGACTATTAGTCACAGTGTTAGATGTGGATACAATCGCTATCTTATCAGTAGAGAAAGTAAGGCTTGGGGAAGTCAAGGAATTTGTCCAAGAACAGTGAGCTGAAAAGGAGCCCTTACTACCCACTTACCTGTCGTAGGTAAAAAGGTCATTCCCTTCTCTTTCTTGGCTTCTCCTTTGATACCAGACACTAAAGTAAAAAAGGTTTAATCAGAGTAATTATAACCAAGACATAATACTAGAGATAATTTGATTCAACATACCCATTTTACAGATGAGAGAATTATGATCTGGGATTGTGAAGTGACATTTAGTCCCACATCTAGTTTATTCATTCATTTAATCATTTAGTCATCAAATATTTGTTGACCAACTACTGATGATGGATCATGCTATTGAGTGCCGAGTATTTGCTAGGCATTGTGTGTGCTGGAAAGACAGACACATAGGAAAACAACATTGAATACCTTGAAGAGAATGGTGAGGGTATGTAACAGGGGGCTGATCTAGTCCCAGGAATCTGGAAGCCTTCCCTGAGAGGGGACATTGAGCTGAGCTCCGAAGAATGAATAGCATTTGAGTAGGATTTAACTGATTGGGGGAATATTTGATGTATAGAGAACAGCACAAGCCCAGTGTCTGAGGTAGGCATGAGTATTACTTTAAAGAATTGAAAGAAGGCCAACAGTGATGGGGGCATAAAGAATGAAGCAGGTGAAGGTGGTAGGAAGCAGGGATGGTGAGGGAGGCAGGGTCACACAGAGCCTGAAAAGGACCTGGTACACTACACAGAGAGAAGTAGGAATTCTGTGAATAATTTGGGGCAGGGGGAGAGAAAAGAGGGAGGAACTTGGAAGATGAAATCACAAGACTTATGAAAAGATCACTCAGGCTGATTGGTGGTGAATGGGTCATGGAGAGACAAGAGGAGAAGCTGGTTTGGAAAGCTCTCTCATGGTCCGGGTAAAGGAAAATAATGCTTTGGACAAAGGTCGCAACAGTGGAGGTGAAGAGAATTCTTTTGCATAGATGGGAATCAAATGCAAAAAGTCAAGGGAAAAACAGAAATGGGGAAGTTATTCTTACCATTTTGAACAAATAATTCATTTAGGATTCTGGGCAGAAATGTTGGCTAATGAGGTTCTCTAAAGCATAGTGGATACTCAAACTTATTCTACAACACAGACACTTCCAGAACTCCAGCCAGACCCACCTGTGTTCCAAAGGGACAAGACACACACCAGGCCCACGCACAGCCTCACTGGAGGACCACGTGACAGGAAGCCCAGCATGCCTGTGATACTCTGACCCACCTGGAATGAAGCAAGCAAGCACTTGGAGGAAACTGGCTAGATTACTAAGCACATTGATGCAGACCTTCCCTTGAGAACAGTGCCTGAGGAATCATTAAAATCACAATCTGAAAAAGGCTTTGTACTAGGTTAGGAGAGGTTAGGAAGCTAAGGTAACAAATTAACTCAATAATTTAATGGGCTTAACAACAAAAGTTGATTTCTTGTTTGCAGTATGTATTCACTGCATTTTGGTGGGGAACTCTGCTCCACACAGTCTCTCAGGGACTCCAGTTAATGGCGCTTCACTATTCTGTAGTCCTCCATGTGGCAGCTGTAGCCTCCTTAGATTTTGATTCACTGTGGCACTGGAAGGGAGAGAGCTGTGGGATTATGCACTAACTCTTAAGTGCTTTGGCGGGAAGCAACACATTTGCTTTTGCTTGCAGCCCATACCAAAATTACTTACATGACCCTGTATGACTGCAGGAAATCTGGGAATGTAGAGGGAGATGCATACATATGCAGGGAGCATTAATGTTTCTTCCATGGGTTTTCTGGCTGTTGAGATGGGAAATATCCTTCAAATACAGCATCACTTTCTCTCATAAATAGGAAAATATATCATCATAGGAGTATATGAGTGTTCACAATCTCTTCCCTTCTCTGCAGCACTCTGTGTCAGCCATTCTCACTTTGCATTTGCCATGCAAAATCATCATGATAGTTACAGCTGCAAAGCTGAGACTAAATTGAATAACGGCTAACATTTATTGAGCACTTCCTGCGTGCCAGATGCCACACAAAACACTGTCTGATTCATACTTGATAACTGCACAGTCTTTCTGTGTAGGTATTAATGTAATGACAACTTAAATACAGGCTGCACAGATATGATTTGAAAAGAGGAGAAATTTACCATTGATAGAGGGATGGATTTATCTGGAAGGTGAATTGGGAGGGAAGAAAAGTCAAGAGAATCTGTGCTTGGGTTGGAGAAAAATGTTGCCGGAAGGGAGCATCCTCAGGGTAAATTGCATGTTGAGAAGTTCTGCTGTCCATTAGGAATGGGAAGCCCCTGTGGAATTTTCTTAAAAGATCCCAGAAACAGTTAAATAGTTTTTAAATTATTGATAGATACGTGACTGGCATTTGTTCTAGGTGCCACCCCACACAGAGACAGGTCTTACAAGGAAGCAAGAAGCTGGGGCTTTCTTGGAGTTCGCCTATTCTCATAAGTCTGTTTTTTACTCTCTGAATATCAAGTTTCCTTATCTGCAAACCAGTTAAGAGAACTCTCACAGGGTCTTTTTGAGGATTTAAGATAACGAATCCAGAGCATTTTGCCCAGTGCCTGGCACATTGTTACGCTCACAACACATACCAGGCATCAAGCTCAGGCTGGAGACACAGGGACAGAGTAGACACTGCTACTTCCCTTGGGCTGTTTAGTAACTTAGAAGATGTAGACACATGCTCAGCTAATTCACACTCAAGGCTGGCTGTGCTAAATTCTCCACTGAGAGAGAGAGAAAGAGAGAGAGAGAGAAAGAGAGAGAGAGAGAGAGACAAGGAGAGAGACAGCGAGCACCTGGTGAAGCCAGGACTTAGCGTTCTCTCTAGCAAAGGGTGATGGGGGATGGAGGTGGGCAGGCAATTCCTGCTAAAGGAGGATTCTTTCCTCTGGCACCTCAACGACTGTGCAAACATTATCTTCCCTTTTGAGTTTCATGTGTAGAATGGACAGAGTCATAGCTACGTTGAAGGTATTTTTGTGAAGATTAAATGAGGCAATGAAATATGCTTACTACAATCTCTGGAATATGGTAGATATTAGGAATCTTAATTTCTTTCTCATTCTCTTATCATTCTCTTTTTTCTCCTCTTTCTCCCCTTCTTCTTCTGTATCTATTTCAGGACTCAGCATCATACCAGAGGAATATGGAATTAAAAGATAAAACCTTATAGTAGAAAAACCATTATTTACATTTATATAATAGCTACACATTTCTCTCTTTTTGACTCCTGCTTCATTATGTTAACCACCCTCTTCCATCTACTAAGAGTAAACATTCTTAGAGTTATTTATTTTTATTTCTTTGAGACAGAGTTTTGCTCTTGTTGCCCAGGCTAGAGTGCAATGGTGCAATCTTGGCTCACTGCAACCTCAGCCTTCCGGGTTCAAGCGGTTCTCGTGCCTTAACCTCCCGAGTAGCTGGGATTACAGGCATGCGCCACCTTGCCTGGCTAATTTTTGTATTATTAGTAGAGACAGGGTTTCTCCATGTTGGTCAGGCTGGTCTCGAACTCCTGACCTCAGATGACCCGCCCGCCTCAGCCTCCCAAAATGCTGGGTTTACAGGCATGAGCCGCTGCGCCCAGCCAACATGCTAAGATTTATTACTCAAAGACTACAATTCCTACTGATGCTGTTCTTGGAGAAAAATGCATTTTTACTTCTCCCTGGTTTTTTAATTCTTTGTCATTGGCCAAGTCAACTATATGTTTGGATTAAGGTTGTCAGATTTAACAAGTACAAAACATAGGACACCCAGTTAAATTTGAATTTCTGATAGCAATGAATAATATCTTAGTGTATCTCATGCAATATTTGGAACATCCATAGTTTGGATAATTGGAGAGTTTTATAAAGGAACACTTCAGACTGGCTAGGCTTCAACTGACAGTAAAACTGAGACTATCTGGCCTTATGCTCCCCTTTGCAAGTCGGGGCCACTCTGGGACTGTCTAGGACAGGGAGGCAGCCTGGGTTTAAGGTCAGATAGACTTTACTTGAATCTCGAGTTGGCCATTGTGATCTGGGCTAACTTACTTAACCTTCGCTCAGTCAAAAAGCATTTGTGGAGCTCATGGCATATTTGTTAGAAGCACAGACCCTGGAGTTGGAGGACTGCTTAGGTTTACTTCCTGGCTCTGCTGTGCAACTTACTAAACCCCTCTGTGCCTCACCCAAGACTGTCCTGAGGATTAAAATATGGTACATTGATAGACTGCAGTGGACAGTGTCTGGCACGGAGCAAGTGCTATATAAATGTTTAACAAATAAGTGATAGAATTAAAGTATGGCAAAAACCTCAATTACTTCTGCACCAACATAATATAGTGATAATAATAAAAATAAGAAAAGATGTTGGTACTCCAATAGTAAGCAAGACAGACAATATTCTTCATATGATAGAGTGAGTCCTCAAAGTTATATCTTTAAAAGACTGCATTAGATATCCAAAACTTTACCGTAAAATTAAGTTGTCATTATTTCACTACATTTCTCATGATTATTATCGGATAATTATTTATAAATCTCTGTTTCTTCCACAACCCTTGCAGAAGAGCAAGTCACGTGATGACAGGACCACAATAATTATATATTGAAGGGGATCAAAATATGCCAGTCAAAATATACTATCCCCTAATAAGTGACTTTGGTCACGTGGATTATTTTGAGTGGAAGGCCACTGAGAATCAACAGAGGCAGAAAGAAGCCTTCTTGGAGCGTCTCCTACCTGACTATGTACAGACACTTCTGAGAAATTCTCTCTCCCGGGGAGAGTTTTATGGCCATGAAGAAGATGGAAAGTGGGTGCTGAGTGGGCACACAAACCTCACAAAAATAAGCCTTAGCTTCCATTGATTTCCCCATATATTTCCTTCCCACATCATACTGCCTCTAGAAGCTCAAAACTCTTTTCCTTTGTCTTGTCACTTCTCCACAAATTTCTCACCTTTTTGTTAAAGTGATGTATAAGTCCCCAAGTCTGATGGCCCTTTTAGGATTTTTTTGTTTGTTTGTTTGTTTTTGAGATGAAGTCTCACTCTGTCGCCCAGGCTGCAGTACAGTGGCGTGATCTCGGCTCACTGCGACCTCCGCCTCCTGGGTTCAAGCAATTTTCTGTCTCAGCCTCCTGAGTAGCTGGGATTACAGGTGCCCATCACCACGCCAGGCTAATTTTTGTATTTTTAGTAGAGGCGGGGTTTCACCATCTTGGCCAGGCTGGTCTTGAACTCCTGACCTCATGATCTACCCTCCTCAGCCTCCCAAAGTGCTGGGATTGCAGGTGTGAGCCACCGTGCCCGGCTCCCTTTAGGGTTTTTATTTCATTTTGTAAGGACTCCTGCAAGCATATGAAAAAACCATTTTTCTCCTGTAATCTATCTTTTGTTAGTTTAATTTGCAGGACCTCAGAAACTGAACCTAAGAGAGTAGAGGAAACAGGAGTTTCCTCCCCTAGAGTACAATGTATTGATCCTCCCATTTTGAGCACAATCTGTTATTTCAACTTCTCAAGCATCCCATGAGACAGGCGTTGATCTTTGAGTTACAGAAGATAAAGGCCCAGGGTTCTGAGGTGTAGCCCCAGCTCCCAGTCACATGATTTCTAAGCAGGAGAACTGGGATTTGAACCATGGTCTCTCAGATACTAAAGTATCTTTTCCACAGTGTTCTGTTTTACTCTCCTGCTTTCAAAATACCAACTTGGAGTGCCAGTAAAAAGTCTGATATTGAACACAAACAGAATGGCCATTTCAAAGCATTTTGGGAAGTGGAAGGGTTAGAAATCCAGTCACACTCCCGGGAGAAGGGCTGAGAAGTGTTGCTATGACTGATGGGCCAAGAATCCACCCAAGAGTCTTGTGAAATTAATTTGCAATATGTCTGTGTGTTTTATCACAGCAGCCCTGAAGCCGGGAGTGTGGATGGTGCAGGCAAATGCTCTAGAGTCTTAATTAAACATTGTGTTACCTCCAATCAACAAGAGTCCCAAATCAACCAAGGTTAGTTCAGCTTGATGAGCAAACCTGCCTTTCTCACTGAACTCTGCAGTCAAAAGGTGCCGGATCAGATATAGCGTCATTACGGTGTGCTGTGGAGAGGTGGAAATACACACTGAAGTGTCAGCGGGTGTGGGCTAGCCACAGTGAGTGACACATGTTCTGAGGTATTACGACGGTCCATTCAGCCAGTAACCTTCCATGTAGAT